CTAATATTTTTTCTAGGAGAAGTTTGTACTAAAATTTATATTCTATTGATCTTTAGAGGTAATTGAAGTTACTTTCAGGTTTAAGCAGTAAAAATCAGTCCAAATTATCGATAGTGTTACCGGTAGATTTTCCGTGCGTAAAAATGACAGTTAAAATTAGGCGTAACGGTTTGACAGTAAGAAAAAAAAGTCTGTAAAATGGGTCAAACCGTTCACGCCAAATTAATTAGGCTAATTTAATCAATGATGTTATATTTTCGATCATTGAAGATCGTTCAGTACGACATTATTGTTGTGCTTGTGGTATTTTTAGTTTCAACTTTTCGGCATTTTCTAGTTGGGTGGTTCCAATATTCCTACTTGAATAATGTTGAATCACCCTTAGGATATGTTGCCTGCTTTTTAAATTTGTCTTTTGACGTCTTATCTGTGATATGCAGGCTTCATAACCTCTGGTCCCCTTTCAAAATTCCATTTTATTTAGTTCCGCCCATTGTTTTCTCGTTAAGGGCACACGCTTTTTATTACTTGGGGACCATACGCCGCTTTTCATGGAATGGCACGGAAGTGTCACATTGAAGGTTCCGTGATAACCGCCGTATGAACATATCTGCGGATATTTCTAAATTCAAAATTTTACTATTTCATGTTTAAATGTTGAATTCTGCTTAAGCCGGTGCTAGGGGGCGTGGACGGTAACTTGCACTTTCCAGTACCGTCCATGAACAGGCTCAATCAAACCGAGCCTGCAACATTTTCAATTTTGTCGTGTTTGGCTTTCTTTAGGGATTCTGTATTTATCTATTTTATGGTCACATCCGTGTTATTTGTGCCGTGTGGCGGCTGTAAAAAGTCTCCCCGTACATTTAATCAATGATGTTATATTTTCGATCCTTGAAGAACTTGAACTTTCCAGTACCGTCCATGAACAGGCTCAATCAAACCGAGCCTGCAACATTTTCAATTTTGTCGTGTTGGGCTTTCTTTAGGAATTCTGTATTTATCTATTTTATGGTCACATTCGTGTTATTTGTGCCGTGTGGCATCTGTAAAAAGCCTCTCCGTACATTTAATCATAGTCCAACTAATTAGACTTGTCAAAGAGACACCGAGATAATTTTGGACGGGCGATGTCTTTTTCCAAGTCCAACCACGAAATGCATTTTTATGCACGGACGCTTCCCAATTAGAAGTTGTTGGGAGCGAAAACTAGAAAAGTTTCAAAGAAACGGTCTACATTACCTGAAAGAGAATCGTTTTTTATGCAAGGTTCCAAATTATCATACTTCAAAGTCGAACAGAAGTCTTAATATTCCACTTTATTTTTTTAATCGTTGAAAATTATTAAAAGCGGCCATATTTGAAAGCGGTGTCATGGTAAAATTGTAAAATCCATGGTGTAACACAGGTATCGGCGGCAATCGCTTGTATTTGCCAAGCTTTATTATACAATTTGTTTATGTTATTTATAATTATGAATTATTGCAGGAATAACTCTTTTATTCACACACAAATATTTCAGCATTAAAAAGAGAATGTGTAAAGGAAATTCTGATAACCTTACTTAGAAATTAAATAGTTTATGATGTCCGATGTCAGATCATACTGCATTTAAGTCCGTTTAAATTGTCAAATTAGATATTATTAAGTTGGATTTTTTAACATCTGTGATCATTAGGTAAAATTTCTGAACTACCTTTTTATTTTATAACCCTGCCATGATTTCCCACATACGAAAATACAATGTAATTGTAGGTACATCTTAATGAATTATAATTATACTATACATGATGAAGCAAAGAAGAATTTCAATTTATATTACACTCCATATCAATTTCTAGTTTATTATCTTTAAAAGAAATTGAGGACGGTTGTTTACGGGAAGAAGTTCAAAACAACCAAAAATAACTTTAAAACTCTGAAAAAAAATCTTAAAATTTCAAACTATAAAATGGAATTTCAGACAGTCCTCAGTAAAATACAATTGTCGCACAGATTTGACGAGGTTTATGATAAAAACGCAGCAAGCGGAAATTTAGTGACCGTTATTTAGATGTTGAATAGCATAACAATGTAAGACAGATGGGAGAAATGTTGGAACAACTGTCGCAAAAGGCACCAAAACCTCTGATACCCATTAAAAATTCCATGTTATCTAGTTCCCGTTGAACGGCACCTCGAATGTGTCACATTGAAAGTTCCATGATTACCGCCGTATTATGTACACATCTGTGGATGTTGATTAAAAATTTCAACATTATTATGTTTAAGTGATCAATTCTGTTTAAACCGGCGAAAGGGAGCACTTGCACCTACCAGAGCCGTCTTTGGCACTCCTGTGTATTTATGTTTCGATTTTGCAGTTTCATGCGTTTTTGGTGGGGTTTTTTGGAGGGTGGATACATGAATGTGGATAAGTTTTTTCTGTTTCTTTACATTTCTTTGCTTGCTTGCCGAACCTTGTATTGATAATCATTATCTGTTTGTTACGGTTCGGTATACGTCATGTATACAATATGATAAACAAGATGAACAAGGAAAAAGGCGTTCAATGAACGCAACCCCCACACGACCCAGGAACATGAACCATTGGCAAGGAGCCCAGGAGGATCCTAAATTAAAACGGGACAGGGCGCAAGGGAGAGCACGGTCAGGCTTATCACTAAAATGTAACTGAGAAGGAAATCAAAGAAAATTAATAAATGAATGATTAATAGGACCACTAAGTTAACGAGCACAGGGAATGGGGTTAGGAAATTCGGGGAGGGGGCGAAATAAAGAAATAAAACTAGGGGCAAAGGGAAGATACTTACCAAAGACGAAAAAACAACAAGGGACACAAACAAAAGTGTCACCAAAACAGTATGAAACAACAAGACATACACCTTATACATTTATAAGTCTCTTAATCTGTTCATTTGAAAATTCTGATCTTCTCAATGACATTTTTTTAATATCCTCTACTTAAAATTTATTTCAATTAAAATATGTGACCCTTCCGTTACACAGCATATGGCTGGATCACAATAAAGTTCCTTTTTAGTAAATTAATAAAGTATGTCAAGAAGACATTTAACTTTATCAATAGGTTTAATATGGTATTATATATCGGCAATCGGTGAAAAAGAGCTCTTGAAATATTATTGTACAAATACTGAATAATTTGAAGTGTATTTCAAATAGTTTCCTTCAATATTTCTTTTACGTTCTTAATTGTCATATAAATATGCATGTATAAATGAAGTCAGTATTTTATCCGAGAGTGACATTTGGCAGTCATTAGCAGTAAACAAGAAGGCAAACCACCAATTGATAAATGTTGAGTACATGTATTAAAATATTTAAAAAATATTAAACAACAGTACTTGTACGGAGCCTATTTGCGACCATTGCATTTTAGGTTAAATACAATGATACTTTTCAATAGTATTTAAAAATGCACACATTTATTAAAAAATAATGAATAGATTTATTTCCCCCGATATTTTGTTTAATTTAATCTTCATGCGTAACCCACACTTACCTGCTTGACACACTGGTAGCTACTACCAGCTTTCACGGAATCGATTTTTTACGATGACGTCATAACATGTCCGCCGAAGATAGAGTAGACAGTACAAATTTGAAATAAATCGCATGTATGCGTTAAGACAGGTACAATCTAATATTTTTTCTAGGAGAAGTTTGTACTAAAATTTATATTCTATTGATCTTTAGAGGTAATTGAAGTTACTTTCAGGTTTAAGCAGTAAAAATCAGTCCAAATTATCGATAGTGTTACCGGTAGATTTTCCGTGCGTACAAATGACAGTTAAAATTAGGCGTAACGGTTTGACAGTAAGAAAAAAAAGTCTGTAAAATGGGTCAAACCGTTCACGCCAAATTAATTAGGCTAATTTAATCAATGATGTTATATTTTCGATCATTGAAGATCGTTCAGTACGACATTATTGTTGTGCTTGTGGTATTTTTTGTTTCAACTTTTCGGCATTTTCTAGTTGGGTGGTTCCAATATTCCTGCTTGAATAATGTTGAATCACCCTTAGGATATGTTGCCTGCTTTTTAAATTTGTCTTTTGACGTCTTATCTGTGATATGCAGGCTTCATTACCTCTGATCCCCTTTCAAAATTCCATTTTAATTAGTTCCGCCCATTGTTTGCTCGTTTAGGGCACACGCGTTTTATTACTTGGGGACCATACGCCGCTTTTCATGGAATGGCACGGAAGTGTCACATTGAAGGTTCCATGATAACCGCCGTATGAACACATCTGCGGATGTTTCTAAATTCAAAATTTCACTATTTCATGTTTAAGTGTTGAATTCTGCTAAAGCCGGTGCTATGGGGCGTGGACAGTAACTTGCACTTTCCAGTACCGTAAATGAACAGGCTCAATCAAACCGAGTCTGCAACATTTTCAATTTTGTCGTGTTTGTTTTTTTAAGGGATTCTGTATTGATCTATTTCAAATTTCAAATTATTGTATTTCCGTTATAGCATAGTGTAAGACTGTTCTTATGTTTGAAGAAAAGAAAGCTATATCTCCTGGATTCAAATATGCATGGGTGATCATACACCTTCAAGAGCCCACATTTTCCTCCTACATATGCGCAGAAGCATTTTCATGTCAAAATACACATTGAATTTCACTGAAGGGCACGACGTTCTCGGACAGTTTTCTTTAGTTTTATCAACACCACTTCTATGTGAAATTTCGTTTTTTATGTACTGAATACGTGCATGTTCTAAAATATCACTTAAAAATGTCTATTCTGTTTGCTTTGTCTCAAAATTTAGGATATCCTTCATGTCAAACTTTTCTAAAGATAGGCACATCAATTTCAACAACTCGCACATTATACATTTAGTCTAGTAATGATAAAACATAAACCATGATAAAACATAAACCACTTAAAAATATATAATTGATATTATCACTCTTCAAATTTAAATTAAGCTTTAATATATTTATCTATCTTTTGACATCTCTTTAACACAGAAAAACATACATTACTCAATCGATCGACACCGTCCCCTGCCCCAGAAAATGTTGACTTTGGACGAATAACTGTCAAACCAGAGTTGGAATTTAAATCGATTTTGTTGGGACCAGTTATGACACAAAATATACCATACTTGAACTTTCGTTGTCTTTTCAATAAAAGAAACGACCTGTTCTACACAGTTCAGTGGTAAGATTTGTTTTTTTAACTTTTGGGATCACAATTTGTCCGGCGTCCACCGCCCGTCAGTGTGTCCATCAGAATGTCGTCATCATTTTTTTACAAACGACTCCTTCTCAGAAACCTACAGTCAAATTCTACATTTTCCTGGGATGTTCCTTGCATGAATCTGTAATGGTTATGCTCCACTGAAAATCTGTGATAGAGGAAAAACAATTAAAATGATTTTTAAAAATATCTTCTTCTCTGAAAGTGCAAGACCTAGAGCTTAGATATTTTGTTTGTAGCATTATCTAATAATACACTACAAAACTATTAACATTATAGCCCTAAGGCTATAATTGGTTTCGCCCCAGGGGGTCATTGATTTTTCTTAAAATATATAGTTACAACAAAATCTTCTCTGAATTAACTAAGGCTATAGGGAAGATATTTGACATGAGTTATTGTGCGGCGGACCTCTACCTAGAGTGTTCAATTTAAAGTCCTGGCTCAACATTGGCCCCGACCCAGGGTCAATGATATTTATTATGTAAAATTATTAAAGTATAGGACCTAGAGCTTAGATATTTTTGGTGTAGCATCATCTAATAAAAACTACAAAAGATGATAAAATTATAGCCCAGGGGTCAAAGTTGGCCTTGCTACAGGGGTGATTGAGTTTCCTAAAATATACATAGTAATGTGTAAAAAAGCTTATTCTCTGAATTGTCAAAGGTTAGGTGTTAGATATTTTGCATGAACATTGAGTAGTAGACCTCTACCATAATTGAACAAATTCTGGGTACAAAATACCCCCCCCGGGGGGAATTATTGAATTTCATCATGTACATAAAGTAAAAACTTAAGAATCCTACTTTCTGAATAAACAAGTCTTAGACTTTTGATATTGTTTAAATGATATAACAAATTTGTTCAAAGTTTGCCTCCAATGTTTAGGCGTAACAAGGGGGATAGGTTTCTAAATATGAAAAACAACTTGTTAACTCTCTAGGGGTTACTGTTGCGGTCCAAATATTCTTGAAATAGGCCAGCAAGTTTGTTTTGATGCTTTCTAGAGCAATTTTGAACGTAAGTCATATGGGGTCAAAAGATTGGTCACGCAGCCAATCTATGGAAAAATCTTAGAGACTATTGGTTGGGTCGGAATATCCTGGAAGTGGTCAAAACTGTAGTGAAGATGATTTATAGCTCAAGTTTAAATATCTTTTATCTATCATTGTCAACAATCAGGTCACACGACCCAAATATTGGAGAACGTTGTTAACACAGTAGAGGCTACTGTTTTGGTTCATTTTTCCTGGAAATTAGAAAGAAAGTTGAGATGGTTTCTAGGTTATGGTCGAACATGGGTCATTAGGATCAAAAACAAGATCATACTGCCAAATTATGGAAAAAACATTGTTATCATTCTAGACGTAATATTTTCAGCCCGATACATTTCTCAGAAAGGTTGAATTATGGATTTCTTGCCCACTTTTGAATATGGGTTATATATAGTCAAAATATAGTTCACATTGTTTAGAATTATGAAAATTTTTGCAATCACTCTAGAGGTTTCATTTTTAGCCCAAATATCATGAAAATTGGTCAGAAATGTTGGTTGTATGATTTGTAGCTCAATTTAATAGGTGTCATCTTGGTTCCAAATATTTGTCACAGCACATAAAAAGGCAAATATGGAAAAACCTTATTTGCACTATATCAGGTGCAGATGTGATTGTTATGATACCAGGTTAAGTTAATGGCATTGCAATGGCTATCATGACCATATTGTTAATATTTTTTGTATTATAATAAAAATAAGTTATATTTGTTCATTTATGGGTAAGGTTGTGCTGGAAAAGTCGGACCGATACTGTTATGATCATTTGGTGATTTTCAAGTCTTACTTATTATTGAAAACCTATTTTAACATATTAAACGTGAAAACTTAATCATTAAAATGCAAAGCGGTGAACTTTAACAGGTATATAGATGAAACTGCCTTAGATAAAACAATGGGCCCGAGTAAAGATATGGCTGATCTTGTCTTGAATGAAGATGATCTGTCATCAAGAAACATAACTATGGGAATTTACGTAAGCAATTTCTAAAAATGTATATACAGTAATAAAATGAATAATATCATCTTGAAAAACAATTTTAATATCAGACCAGTAAAGTATATAATAACTTGATTTTGGAATTATCAATAATGCACAAATGTCAAAAATAATCACCAGGATTATTCTTACCACTGTTCTCTTAACTGTTGTTAAGACAAAATAACAGTGACAACTTAATTTCAATCTCAAGTAGTTTTTTCGCGATCAGCAATAATTATGCTTTTAGCCGCTTACAATATTGTTATCAGATGGCAAATAAACATATTAACAATATAATTGATTAAGATCGATTTATAAACAAAGCAATATAAAAAAGACTCTTGATAAAATATAGAATGTATCAATTAATCATTAAGTCACGTACATCCAGTACTTCTTTTTTAAACCTAGCTCTATTGGATAAACAACGTTGTTCATGAGTGAATTGTTTTAATAAACTTGAATTTGGCAATGCTCATTGACCTAAATATGTTTTCTTCTATCAGCATAACAGTACATTACTATAGTTAAAAACCTTAAAAACCTTCTGACTATTATAAATGATTTTACATAAAGATATAATGAGTTTTCTTACATTTTGATTTACTTTTTCAATTTCTGCAGCTTGCTTATTTTTTCAAAATTATGTAAAAGATAGTTACTTTTGTAACAGGTAAGATGTGGAGTCAGAGCTTCGATTAGTGAAAATGGTATGCTAACACCTATGAACAGGAGTGAAAAATTTTACGCAGGAATAAAGGTTATTTTTCAAAAGTGATATTTTTATCATTGAAGTCATTGACATTAACTCATGTTTTATGATAAAATTGACGATGTATTCTGTATTGTATAATAAGATGTTATTATATGTTCTGAGTTTTCAGTATCTGTTAATTATTTGATATTCTTAGTTTAACATTCATTGAAACATAGTCACAGACATGTGTCGATGATTCAATTGGCGAACGTTGTTTTATCATCTTGGGGAAATAAACAATAATTATATATATAATATATAACACGCAAACAAATTATATAAAAGAATTAAAAAGACGTCAACAGAACATAAAATTTACGCGAAGAAAATTATTTATTCAATGAACAATACTAGAATTTGTGTTTTATTAAAAATGTCATGACTTTTCTAGAATGTAGTGAAAAAGAAAAAAAAATAATATTTTACATTTGCATAACATCTTATTGATATTAATTCAAGGTGAAGTATGGACTGCACAATCTTAAATATACTGAATTTACTATTCAAAGGAAGTTACCCCCGGATCTTAAGAAAAATTGTTGCGTATAATGTGCGGTATATTCCACTTTTTTTCAAAACATTGTTGTGTTCACTGTTTTATAAAAAAGTGTTTAATTAACGTAAAGATACTTATAATAATCTTCCACTTCCACACTTCTACAGTGTACTTGTACAAACCATTTTAATTAATTTATTTCATTGCAAAAATCTATTCATAGATTTCGCAGACAAATGTTTATCTTGATAAAGGAAGTTCAGCAGTGGTGCAAATGTTGTCAACAGTTCCAATTGGTTGTAAGTACTTTAAAGGAACAAACACATCATTAGTTTGTAAGGCAGAAATGAAGCTTTTCGTTGATGATGGTGACCCGTTGCAATGTGAAAAGGGATCGATATTAAATAAAGTTGATGAGGATGATGACAATGGGAACGAAGTTGTAAATCAACATTGTGCACAATATATAAAGGTAAAACATTATTTTTGAGTGTATTCATATTTATTTTCTTGAGATATTGATTATATGCGATAACCAATTTGATCGAAATGTTAGTTTTCTTCTTATAGACATGTAGATTACCGTCAAACCTTTTCATTTGAAGATAATATTTAAGTTGCTGTTTGGGTTATCATCGTTCAAATATTTTGTAATTCTGACTTTACTAAATCAGTGTTTTTAGGAATCTGAGTAACTTTCAACTATCTCTTTGACAGTCAAAATGTTAACCTAAAATACACCGTTAAATCAAAGACCTAAACATGGCGGGTACTGAGACAGAAATACAGAAATTATATTTAACTTAAAATAAACTTTTCTTTCATAATGACATTCTCGTAAACACTCACACACACGCACAAGTATATGGTGGCCTAAATGTGAACAGTTTTGATTTTGATTACATGTCATGTACATTAAAGACCTTAGCCAAGGAAGATACATGGGACCCTTCTTATAAGTTCAACTTCACCATAGTGACGTCAGATATCAATTATGATGATAAACGAAAATTCATCCTTAAGCTTCAGTTTGGTAAAACAATGAGTCAAACAATTTGGAAAGACTACTTCTTCCCAGAAGTAGAGGTGAGAATTGTGCTGCTCATTTATTTGTTACCCTAATTTTTTACTCAACATATCATATAACTCATTCACACACTCGCTTTTCATGAAACTAGATATCCCATGTGAAGTACATAATAGGAAAGAAAATGTGATTTAAATTAAACATTGTAGTGCCCTTACAAGATACATAACGATTTTAATGACACCATTATAGAGTTTTCCAATTGCTACACGTATCTGTATGGAGATAGAAGACACTATTTTGATAAGAGTATAATTGTTGTCGGCAGTAAATTCAAACAGGGTAAAGCTTTAAATGGGTACTTGATAAGAGTATAATTGTTGTCGGCAGTAAATTCAAACAGAGTAAAGCTTTAAATGGGTACTTGATAAGAGTATAATTGTTGTCGGCAGTAAATTCAAACAGAGTAAAGCTTTAAATGGGTACTTGCTCACAAATAATTGTAAAAAACAACATAATTAAATAATATAAGCATAGTCATTTAAATGTTGATCTTTAAAGAGATATCATAGCTTTATTAAATTTTCCTTACAGGTGTTTGTTCAGAATACAGACACCTACCAACAGAAGGTTTGCAAGTCCAGGAACGACCCACATATGACAACTGGCGACGGATAGTACGCTTCATATAAGAAATTCATAGTCATTATTCATAACATTTTATTAGCACAAAAGTCGTATAAAATACAGTTTATTCTTGGGATATCACAGACGTTTTATTCTGTTAAATTTAATCTTTAAATTCAGAAAATGATTTAAAATGACAATGTCTTTGCTCATTATATTTTTATTAATGAATTATTATCTGATTTAAAATTAGTTTAGTATACTCAAAGATGTTTGAATGGACTAGTTAAAAAACTTTGTAAATATATAACATATTTTTTTGTCTTTCCAGCCGTTATGAAAATCACGTCACGGGAACATACATGTTGTATTTTAATAAGGAATACAATATTGAAGTGAGAAAATTTAAATGCATTCATTTATTTATATAGAGTATCGAAATGGTATAGATTTAAAGTATATATTTATTTTACAATCATTGTAAGTACATATGAAATGTTGCAGCATCATAACAGTTCAAGACGCAAAGACTATAGAAAGAGAATGCTTAAAAACGTCGGATAATATTATGTTGAAGATAATACAGTTTGATTTTTAAAATGTAACAACAGTATACTTGTATATGTTAAAATAAACCTGTTAAAACGTTTGTTAAGTCCTATTCAAATCAAGAGTTGTAAATTGTCTATTAGTAACACATAATGGCCTGTTTATTGATGTCAAAATATAATAGTGAAAAACTTCTAGATCGCAATTTCCATGCAATATTGGGCACTTTGAAAGTAAACTTGGTATGCATACATATAATGTTTAAGATGAAACTGGTATCATTCCTTCTAACACATTCTAACTAATGCCAATTCAGTATGTCTTCATATGAAAGACAAAATCGTATGAACAGGAAGAAGATTTTTGAAGATCATTGAAGACAGATTTTTTTTTATTTCACAACTTCTTGTTTGTAACCCGATGTAGCAGAAACACATGCCACTTAACTGCATAATGAGAGTGTTCAGATACAAATGACTTAAATCAAAGAGAAATCATTTATGTAGTATATCACTTAGAATTACAACTTACGCATATTTAATCGTGAATTGATTATTTGTTTTCTTTTGTATTATTTTTACGATCATACAATTTAAATAAGATAAGATAAGGCTTGAAATGCTTGACACAAAAGTATCAATTGTCAGTGGAAATGCTGAATTATATTCATTCAATGCATCTGATTTTTTATAGTTTGTTTGTGCCAATAATCTAATACAACAGAATATCCCTGAATAATATGTTGAATTTTCATTATATGCAATACTGAACTTTTACATATTTTTTAATTGTAATTATGGTTAAATATGCTTTCGCATTTTATATTATAGATATATTACCTATATCGTGTTGTGTTAACTTGAACTTTCTTTCACAATTAGAAGTATTGAAATGTAGTATGTGTCAAATGAATATTATATTTTACTTACATTATTTTCAAATAGTTAAGTTGAATATTCTTATCAAAATACAGGTACAACAAACAATCAAACAATGTGACTATGGATGGGAAATTGCGAAATGTACATGTGCGGTTGGAATAAAAGCCGGTCAAGACGTTTTTATGATAAATCGATGTGGAAGCCCAACATTGTTTGCGTTTACTCAATGTGGGGATGGAGGCATTTTAGATGTACAACGAGTTAACGATTTGTTATATAGGGTAAGTGTATGGAAAAGGAAAAAATATTCCGGACGACAAAATACCTGTACGTGCATTTCTTACCAACATCCAATCACATGTCTTATTACATCATAACATACTTATCTAAGTCAGTTGAGTACTTGATAATTTATGGCCAAATGCAAAATATGTGATGTAGTTTAACTGCTAACTTATGGAATCAATATGGAATGCCAAACATTTTCATATTTCTGATAATTTCAAAGTACATTAGCCCCGTCTGTCGACTGAAACGAGGGATAGTCACACTCTGGCTGAAGTCGGAATTTAATACATGTATGTCATCAATTTAATAACGTCCTGATTTATATGATTTTAACTTTACTGACTTATTCTAACTACACTTACACTAGTTACATGATTAAATTGCGTCACCTTAATTTGTCCTAATCAGTAAATTTCATAAAACTTAATCGCCTATATAAATTATTTATTTAAAAACCAGCTAATTTCGTAAATCTTTTTGTTTTGCATTATCAAGAACCGCAGTCTTCACTGTACTCTCTATATGTTATTTATACATATATAAATAAATCAATAAAGAAACACATTGCTTGTGTGAAATATAGTGCAACGGGTGATGAAACTCTGAAAGTTACAGGATAAAAATGAGCAAACTTCAACAATTGCTGCATATACATGTAGTTTCACGTACACGGTCTTTCTGTGTGGAATACATTTTTTCCAAACATTTTATGAAAGACAACGTTACATGCTTCCTTGCACATGCATTCTCACAAGCACAACTTCATCGACTCTGTCGAGTTTGACAGGAAAAAATACGAGCTTCCCCGTCATTGCACTTGGGTGTCATTGATATATGCATACTATGCAATCCAGGTCACACACAATCATAATGATGTGGGTTTCTTCCTATGTAACCGTGCGTATGTAATATTGCTACATTCGTACTGGGTAATTATGAAGGCTTGAAAGAGCATTTGGTCCGATGTCCATGCCGTACATAATTCCTTTTTGGCAGACATGTTTATCACGAAAAGTGTACCTGAAATAAATACATTCCCAGTGTTGCTTCAAGAGTTTCGTCGATACCAATTGGACGCACAGACCCTGTTATGTAAATGTCTGCTTAATTCCTGTCCATTTCTCTCATTAAAAAGTATATGACTGTCCAAAACTGATTTGTTAAAGACGACAGGGTAATCTAATTTTCAAGACGTAGAATTTGTATTATTTACATGACACGTCATCAGTGTCTGTCTGTGAGTCAAATTTCCAGGTGCTTACTATTTCAAAATTTTCTTTATCACTTGGTTTGTTTTTCAAACCATTGAAATGACTACCTGTTAAGTAACAGACTGTTATTCGTCGATGATAATTACTTTCAAAACACCTGGCTCAATTATTCGAGGATGTCAACCTTTGTCGTTGTTCGGGCCTACTGACTCAAATAATCCATTTAATTCCTTGAAAAAATAAATGATAAAGAGAGAAAAACAAATATTCGCCAAAATGCTGAAAGATGATTTAAAGATAACTTTAGATCGAACCCCCTCAAATTTAATGGACAAATATAAACTCACCAAATATAAATGATATTGACATCGAATGACGGCGAGCGAATGGTAGACATATAAAGAATAA